CTGACAACTCACATTCACATTTACAATATTAGTAGGGATATAGGTATACAATAATACATCATTTGAAGAAAAATTCAACATAGTCAAGATTCTAAATCATGGCTGCTATTTCTCAATTTCCTGTGGGCTGATGCCCATATACATTTTTCTGTTTCAGTTCCACTATCGATTAGTTCAATTTTTTCCTGATGATAAAAATTGAGACAAAATCTTGAGTGTACAATTCAATAACAGTTTTGAGTAACATAATATCCAAAATATAAGCTCAACAGTTGACATGTTTGAACATAAAAATCCATCGGTGACCATAGGTACACTATTTTTTCCAGAAACTTATTAGTAAAATCAAGGAAACTTTGTGTATTGATGGTACCTATATATGAAGGAACTAAAGTCAAAGCTAAAGTATATAACCAATTCAAACTACTCAGGTTCTACGGTATATTGACTATTTTTTATACTTTCGCTAAAATTAGCAATAAAATTAGCCAACTTCTCATTGTTACAATTTCATTTGACAGGTATAGGAGTAAATTGGTTATTTTAGTTGTTTCCATTGAAATAAGGACGTAACTTAGCAACGGTTCATTTCAGTACCTAGGGATTAAAAGGGTCACTTCGGTATCTGTTTGCAAAGATTAAACTATATATACACTTGAGTTTCGGAAATGCACAAAATTTAATTGGACAAGTATGTAAGTAACAGAAGTTTATTCTGTTGGTAATTGGCTCATTTTGACACCTGTTTGAAGTCCCAAAAATTGGAAACATATCGAAATAACATAATATTGATCGACAATAAAGAGATAATCGAGAGTTGTATGAAATTAATCATAACATTTTTGCGGTTTATCATCTCATCATATCAGCAGCAAGAATGTCAAATTCAGGTCATTTCATCAATGATATTTCAGCAGATCTAATAAATAATAAAGCGATCAATTGGGGACGACAAAATGAGAATGTTCCAAGGGCGGAAATTTACGAAGGCTTAGAGGGGCCACCGCAATTCTTTTTTATAATTCCGACTTAGTATCTCGGAATTTCGACTTAGTATCTCGGAATTATGTAATTCCGACTTACTATGTCGGAATTCCGACTTAGTATCTCGGAATTATATAATTCCGACTTATTATGTCGGAATTTCGACATAGTATCTTGGAATTATGTAATTCCGACTTATTATGTCGGAATTCCGACTTAGTATCTCGGAATTATATAGTTCCGACTTATTATGTTGAAATTCCGACTTATTATCTCGGAATTAGGACATTGCGGTGTTGTGACCATACCCAGACAGCACAGAATATTCTATGAATATTCTGATAACGTTCAGATATATCTATTTCAGAATATACTGATAGAATATTGTCGGAATGTTCAAAGAAAATTCTCATCCTGCTACGAATATTCTATGAACGTTCAATTTGACATATTCTTTTTGAATATTCTATGAACATTCAATTTGACATATTCTCAACATTTTCTTCTTGAATATTCTGGAAATATACAGAAATGATCGTATCAAAATATGATATTGATGTTATTCTTGTATCGATATTATTAATGTTTCTCCTGACCCAATGAAACCTATTATTCTCTACCCTCAATAATAATTATCCTACTAATGAAGTGTTGACTTCTTGCTATTTATATCATTCATCACTATGGTTCGTAGCGCACTGAAAAACGTTTCAAGTTTGTAAATATTCGATGACAAGAAAGTTGGTTCGTTTATCCACCGGAGCAAGTTTTTTCACTTTCCTTTCTTTTCCTATGATATGCTAGGAATATTCTTAGAATATTCGAGAAAGTCCAGTCCGAATGTTCATAGAACGTCCCTGAAATATTCGTATCATATTGTGAGAATACTGTGAGAATATTCAAATATTCTCGGAGAATATTCGATGGATGACATTGTGCTATCTAGGATCCTTCGGGCATGGTGGTTAATTTAGGGAAGTAATGAATTCATGCTTATTCGGGCTATCCTTAACTCTAGTCTATCCTTATAATCTTGGAAACAGTAACAGTTCCCTATATAGCTACGGTTTTCTATGGAGAATGGAGCTGTTACCAGCGGCCGTCATTCGATTATGAATTATCTTTGAAGAGGATATATTATGCGATGATAGTTGTCACTAAAACGTTTTTCTACAACGAAAATTGATCTTCAAAAAAGTGTCAGATCCAGGGTATAGTTTAGGGGGGGAAGGCGATGAATATAAAAAGTATAATATATACGAATATATTTTCAATTATCCAGAGGAATATGCCCAAAAATCAGCGAGTGCTGTTACCTCTGAATTATACGAGGTCGGATTTTGATATTTACCGGGTAGCAAGTATATCAAATCGCCGTTTATTGACAGAACATTCATTTATTACATCACTTCTGGTTCAACCGGAAGTTACCCCAACTATTAATTCTCCCCTATATATCTCGACATTTTGATGAAATAGTCTCTAATGTGTGTAAAACGAATAAAACGATCCCCTGGATCCATATATTGAAAAATATGGGTACAGAGGATGGCCTATTTAAAAATAAAGTTGGGGTTGTTTCCGGTTGAACCGGGATTAATAGGAAGGAAATTAAGTTGTCAATGAATAATCAATTTGATAAACTTGCTACCCACCAGATTCCAATATCCTATCTCGAATGATTCACAAGAAATATAGGACTGAATGTTTTTTGTGCACAACTCTGTATATGAAATAACACAAGAGGTAACTATCGATATTTCGGCGAAGCTTAGATTGGATTATCACCCCCTTCACCACTCTCTGGATCACTGTGGATCACCACTGGTTAGAAACTAGAGAAATATCAATGACGCGGTCGCCTAACCACTTCAGGGACGCTAGAGATAACAGCACCGTTTTTCCAGAAAACCGTATAGTTTATTTAGAGCAATGAATTCTATACTATTCGTACTAGCATTCTTTCATTGATTTCGAGCTCCTACCAGGGTTGTTATTTCTCGAATTAATTCCATCACGCTATAGATTATCATTAAATGTATTAGGATTATGGATTATTCACAATTAGCTATTCGGGAGTCGTCCTCACAGTATAGGTACATACATAGGTATGTAACACTCAACTATATGGTCACAACCCCGCAAGGTCCTAATTCCGAGATAATAAGTCGGAATTCCGACATAATAAGTCGGAAATATATAATTCCGAGATACTAAGTCGGAATTCCGACATAATAAGTCGGAATTACATAATTCCGAGATACTAAGTCAGAATTCCGACATAATAAGTCGGAATTATATAATTCCGAGATACTAAGTCGAAATTCCGAGATACTAAGTCAGAATTATAAAAAATAATTGCGGTGGCCCCTCTACGCCTTCGTAGAAATTTTAGTTTCTCACTCCTATATTTACGAAAATAGAATTACAATGATACCGCAAATGAAGCAGTTTTTATTTTTATTGGTGAATATTTTCTGCGAAATCAAGATTTCGTTACTCGGATTCAAAACCTTGTAACGAATTTAATAGGTAGGTAGGTAGGTGCACAGTTGGTATTCTTCTCAAATCTGCTATACACACCCATCTAAGATTCGAAAGATATTTCACATTATTTTTATACGTGCAGTATTTTAGTACAATAAATACAAGAGCGGTTTAACCTGGAACTGTCACAAATGAATCAGCGATATTAAATTTGTGTCAATGTTCTTTCATTTTTTCAACGCGTATAATTGCCAGTAGATCAAACGCATAATAGGTTTATCTGCCTCGATTCAACACAATTTTACTTGAAAACAGATCTTATTAGAGTTAATTATGAAATTGTATCATTGGTGATCTAAAGGTTAACGATCGTTTTGATTCATGTTAAAGGAGAAATGATCGATGAAAATGAAGGTTGAAAATTGAATCCAAGTGTACAGATTGGTATTTTTTCCGAAAAAGGAAAATGGAGAATGGGTGTGCGGGAAACATTTTCTCAAAAATACGTAGCACATTTTTCAACGTACATTTTTTGTCTGAATACAGATGTTTTCCTATTATTTTGATCACCTAAGAAAAAAAACATCACAGAAACAGTATATGAGTACTTACAATTTACACCTTCACATTGAACAACTTTAAAGGAGTTTCAGTTTGAGCCTTGTATACAAGGTTTTTCGTAATATGTAGGACGCACTTCGAGAGGTGATATGATGAAACTGCTTCGTTTCCAAGATATACTTATGGTTCCAAGATTAAAAAAAGAGTTTTTCTTCCATATCTTGAAAAAATATTTTTCACAAAATTTCAAGATCGTATACATTTTACAGAGGGTATTGAATTTTATGTCTTTTTTGTTTTCATAATCAATAATGTGCAATACATTTTTGGATAATATCTAAGCATTTTTATTTTTCCTTATGGAGTTTAGAGATATGCCGAGGTATGTATTGTCCGTTTTTCACGAAAACGAAGCAAGATACGAAAACATAGCAAGAGACAGAAATGTTATATTTTCAGTAGGTGTATCTTAATATATAAGATGAACCCGAAAAAAACACAGGGTGACTTTTTTTCTACATAATAAAGCCGACTTGCTCGATGGGTACCTACACCCCTGGAAATTATGAATCAAATCGAATTGGTCCAGTAAATGTCTAATATTTAAAAAAATTTATTCGAATTCGCTCAAGTGTTTTCAAAATAGCAATAAAAAACTCATTTTGGACTTGGACAACCTGTATCTCGGTAACGAAGCATTTTCGGACCCATGTTCATATGAACTTTTTTTCATATTTTGTTGAGGTCACCACAACTGTGAAACACTCTGTAGAATAATGTAGTTCGATACGGTGCCAACTGAGCTCATTCAAATGTATCTTTATATTTGTTTATTTGTCAGTGTTTAGTGTCAGTGGGTGTTTCCAGCTCAAATTACTCAATGATTCACATGATACCTTGCTCTCTTTAGCTTCTTCATCATATTTTGCCTGTATTTTGAATTTATTTGAAAAGAATATACCTATGCTGGCGAAGAGAAAAAGAATTGTCTATACATTTGCTCAAGTTATGAACATATTATAAATTCTTATAAAACATATAAATCCAAACTGAGAAAACATTAACTGAATCGTATAATGTAAAAATATCTAACAACTATAAACCAACTATATAATCGTAATAAAATAAAACTCCTTTGAGGTGTATGGTTAATGAATGTATACAGAGAGGGGCCATATGGTGTTCAAGTACTAAAATAGATGTACCATAATATACCTGATAAACACTGTCTGAAGGAAATTGTAGGTAGGTATTAAACGAAACAAAATGCACATGCACAAATCTTATGCGCATCAGGGAAAATTTTTAGAGCAATCTCATCAACCACACAACGATTTTCTTCGTCGCAATTGTTTAATTTTGCTCTGTCGTTTGTTGATTTATCAAAAAATGTATCGATTGCAACATTGCCCAAAATTTTCTAAAGTCTGTTTTAGAGGGATGAACATATCTAATTAGCTTGCTTGTCAAGAATGTAATGTACTCCTCCAAGAACAGAAATTGACTGTTTTCGTAGTGAAAACATTCCCCGTCATTGGTTTAGAGCGCCTGCTCCTGTTTGAGTTCCAAGGCCCACACGTGCTGAGGCCAACCTGTGCGCCCTTTAGATCTCCTCGTATTGCTCATTTCTTCCTGTTTACAACAAAATTATCACAAACAAGCCTCTCAAGTGACAATCTTGGAATTTCTATCGTTTAATACTGATGTTTGAATCGAAACTGTGCCTGATCCTGTCAACGCATTATGACAACAATTCCAGCTCACTTTTTTTTTCTGGGTGACCAGATGTAAAACGAAAAATCGGAATAGTTATTTATGTGCATCAGTAAAACAATGGCAATTTTGTGTTATATAGCCGTAGAAAAAGGATATCTTCTGGCTTTTATATAGTGTATGAGTAAAATTGAGGGATTGCATGATGCCATCTGTTATCAATAAACTTGTTAAGTTGATACGAGATCTACTGAAATTAAAAAAATTTAAACTTTTGGAAACTGGGGAAAAGTCAGTAAGTATAATACCAAAATGATTCAGTGGTTTATATGCTAGAAATATTTTGTTACGAAATTACTGAACCGGGATATCAAATATAAATACAATATGATGTTTTACTCTGTTCATTGAAGTTTATGGCCGTTTTAACGGTCGCTAAAACGGTTTACTGACAGAATAAATCAGTGGGTATATATAACAATTTTCATTCATCTCGAATAAATTCATCATGAAGCCGAAATAGTACTGTTTTCCATCAGTTTTCTTGTCTTGATGCATATATAATGCGAATAAATGATAGATCTATATAATTATCTAAGGTTTTTCTAATTGATAATTCAATTAGATGAACAGTCAAAACACTCCGAAACTGAGTATATGATAATCGAATTACTCCAGAGAATAATAGAACTGCGGAGTCATAAACACCCCTCGAATAGCACCCCTGTGGTCTGGCAAATGTTAGCACAGAACCGGATTCATTGTGATTCAAGAATATATTTTTGATGTCTGAAGGTATAATACCACGAGTGTCCCAAATATCATCGACTAGCTGTCCGGCCTGGCTTCTCAAGGTTGGTGTAACCATTAAAAAAAATTAACATTTTTTGCAGCCGTTCTGAGCTACTTCAGTACAAATTAGTTTGTTATTTTTTAAATTTTTTGAGCTCACCTTCACCTACTTTTATATACCTACACCTTTTTCATTCTCTCAGAATATAATGTATTGAAAATTTCAACACAATCGGTCGAGCCATTAAGTAGTTGACGTACCGACAGCAACGCCTCCTACCGCGTTCATTGTATTTTTTAAATCATCCAGGAAACCATCAAAATACCCATATGAAGTTCAACCCAATCGGTTCAGCCGTTTAGAAGTTATGTGAAAAAGATAAGTACGGAAGAATAATTCTTACTACTCGTTTTGCCGTAGGAATGAAGCATTTTCCCGCGGTAAAAAGTAGCATATGTTCCGCTATGTTCATCAAGGATGATGTCGGCTTCTGATGGTGAAAGAATTTCTCAAATCGGTCCAGTAGTTTCGGAGTCTATTCAATATACGATAGAAACTTTCTTTCATTGTACCAGTATTTCACCTGATGAAGCTACTTTGTTAGCGAAACATGTCGTGTGTTTAAGAATTTTGTGGAAATCTCATCGTCTGTGAAGTTTTTACATTTGCTATGGATTTCCATCAAGTAACGGCCGAGTAAATTCAAGAAAAAAAAAGATTTGATTAACGTCGATGGATCTTTGATATGGAAAATGTTTTTTTATGTATAGAAAAAAAAAAGGCTCACCGTGGTCATCTCTTTAGCGAAAACCCGATCAGAAGTACAGTCATTCAAATGGACAGAATTATTGCTGGATTTCCTAGAAATTGTCCCTAGTTCGGCTTTGAATCCGCCCACAGTATCATCGGTTTCTAGTGCTCTAGTCAAATACGATATGTATGACGTTGCTAGCCTCAATGTCTTGATCTAAAACAGAAAAAATCCTTTTTCTACAAACGTCAAAAAATGACAAGGTTCGCGCATTGATAACAAATTGCGAAGTGACACTTTTTTTCAGTTTCCTACGTTACCATGATACCTTGCACATAACAATGCGCGAAGTAAAACAGTGCGCGAAGTACCTACTTCGCGCATTGTTATGTAAAATATATGAGATATTTTTATTCCAACTTAATGGTCCTCAATCGAGCAAACATCCACGAAATCATTTATTTCTGAATGTTCAACCATTACTTTGTTTTATCTCTTGGAGCGCACGAAAGGAAATTCCTATTATGTTCGTGGAACATCGTGCGTACCTAGGGAGGATAGGGGGAGGCTTTTTAAGCCAGTTCAACACTATTTTTTATATTAAGCTAAGCATATTTTTACTTTAGAACTATATTTTTTGACGTTTGTAGAAAAAATGTTGTTTGCAACTCGAGCGCGAAATACTTTGGTCATCTCGACTATTTTTTTAACTCGGCAACGCCTCGTTAAAAAAATCAGATCTCGATCACCAAAGTAGCATTTCGCGCTCTAGATACAAAAATAACTATTTCCATTTCAAAAGGAACCCTTGAAAATTCAGTGGAGATTGATTTTTCTTCATCTGTTGTAGCGCACAAGAGCTGGGATTACAAAACCGAGCCGCCCCTCTAACTTTTGATTCGTTCGAGATTAAATTTTGAAATTTGGAGGGTTCATATTTTGCATTCACTCATATGTTTTTCGAGTTACTCCCGGTGTCGCCGGAAATAGCCTCAACTTTCGAGACACCCTGTATATTTTCCCATTTTTAGATTCAGGAGATCATGGTGAAATTTTCCTCAGCGTAAATTTTTTATTCGTTTTTTGAAATCGTATCTAGGTGGCTGTTACTATCATAAATTGTTTTTGTTTCAGTTGCTTCTCAAGGGAAAAATTCAAATCATTACTATTCCACAACTATCTTGCCTACACAGAGAAAAACGTTTCTTTGCGTGAAACAATCTCATTTGTTTGACTTATATTTGTTTGCAAGAAATAAATGTTATTTGCGAGAAACAATTGTTATTTCTTAAAACCAAATCAAATTCTTTGTTTGAAATCATCGGTTCATTTGAATGACATTTGTTTGGGTGAAACAATAGCATTTGTTGAAAATATATTTATTTCGAAGAAATAAATGTTACTTGGAGCAAATAAATATTATTTTGAACAGAAATATCACATTGTTGGCGAAAAATAATTTTGATATAAATATGAACAATTGATATAGTTGTCATGCACAAACAAAAAATTTGTATTTAAAAAATATAATTTGAACAGAGCGAGTGTGTCATTCATCTCGAATAAATGCGCTTATTGAAATTACATTATGGAATTGTTCTTTTGAATGACAGCACAATTTTTAACAAAATATAGTAATTTTTGGTCCAAATCAAATATTGCTTTGATTATATGCGCTTGTTTTTGTTGTGTAGTCGAATGTTCGCATGATTGGGAAAATGAGAATCCAGATCCAGAAAAAGTAAAAACAACTGACTTATTTTCTTCTACCAAAGTAAAGTCGACGATGCCCATGACTGAAAAAATCACCAAACCAAAACTTAAAGTCTTAATTATTGTTCAGTTCGGTGGCGTGACTTGTTTCTATAATATCCAAAATCAGGGTTGCCAGATCTGACAACAAATTAGGCGCTTTTGTCTTTGGGTCGTCAATGGCTTTTTGACATGATTTCAAGAATTGATGTTTTATGGCTGGATCTCCTGCAAACCCAACATGAAGTTGTATCTTTACTCGAGCTGAATACCTATTCTGGACATGACTGATACGCAATTTGAAGCAAAATTTTGAACCTGAAATGCTCGGTCATCAAGTATTTTTGAAAAACGGGTAAACCTCCAATCAGCAAACTTTAATTTTGGTCTTCGAATTATATTTCTCTCACCTTTGGACTCGCCTGGCACCTACTTCTCATCAAAACCGTCTGTCAATTCGTATCTTTTTTCTACAATGTCTAATTGACATCATAATATAATTTCAGGTTTACAGCGGCAAGTTAATTTTTCAAATCATTTTTACACTTGAAGAATCAAGGAGATGATGACATGCAAGGGTTAGACCTTCATCCTTTGATTCATCACTATCAAAATTTCTTGTCTTATACAGATAATATAAAAGGTTCACGAGCTCTCCGGCTCCATCTGGCAACCCTGTCTGAAACGTATACAACTACCAGACCCGCCATAACGCATTCGTTTTGTATCTCTGATGATTTGGTTCGCCGGGTCGTATCGTACAGTGGTGATTTAGTATAGTTAATTCCACAGCATATTTATAGATTTTCACTATTCTCTTAATGTGTAGTGATGGATTTTTCAGAAGAATGGCATTTGGGTCATCTGGTCCCAATTTTCAGAGGTAAGGAATTGTAATTCATACTTGAAAATTGGAATAATGGCGTGAAAGTTTTGATGATTTGTTGATTATCTGATGTTTTCATACCGATCTCCATCAAAAAAACAAACCGTGCAATTTGGTAGGTCATAGAAGGATGTACGAATAGGTAGGTAGGTATATGTGTGATATTTCGTAGATAAGTATACTTTCTAATCTGCTGTATATTGAAATATTCCAGTGAAATGGCGTTCAAATTCTTCTATGATTTTCAATGGAAGATTCCATGCAGTCAAATAAATATTTCTTTGATTCAAATGTCACCAGCTTCACTTGAAACAAAATATTTGTTTCCATGAAACAAATGATAATTAGTATGTTAAATGTTTTGATTCTATGTTAGCATCTTCGGGAGAATATTAAAACTCAGGAATCACCCCTTGAATTTTTTCGGTGCTATTTAGATATACCCTGTATAAGTATTTTGAGATATCATGTAACTATATAGAAAACATAATCACTAGAACAAAAATTATCACAGCTCTTTTCTTCATATGAAAAATTGTCAACAATGCACTTCAATGTTATGGAATTTTTATTTCCTTGTTATGGATATATTTCATCTATTCCCGCATTAAAATATACTAAACTTTCAGGAGAGCAATAAGAAAGCTGCTACGTCTGTCATTGATGTGAATACTCCAGTGATTTCCGAAAACATTTTTATTGATGCACCGAATGATAGAGCCGATGATCCACCTGCCAAATATTTGAGGTTGGATACAAATAACAGCGACCAACCTGCTTCAGGATCATCATGTATCTTGACTTCTGTAGTATCGAACCCAAACAGTGTGTCTGTCACATTTTTTCTATTATTCAATAAAGTTTGTTATAGTTCAATTTTGTTGTTAATTCTCAATTCCTTCCAAGAGGAGTATTGTTTTCTAAGAAATGAATTTCTTCTTAGGAAGATATTATTTCTTCGAGTTTATTAATTTTTGATTTCGTTCAAATCTACAATTTATTTCTGGTAAGGGAATCCATTATTTGAACTTGTTTCTTCCAAACAATTTCCTTGTTTTTCTCAAGCATTGACATCTTTGAATCAAATTACATTTACATATATTTATTTTTCACAAATAATCATTTTTTCTTCCAAAGAATGTTCTTGTTCCTGTCAAGCTCTGATTTCTTTGAAACAAATAATTATCTATTCTTCCAAATAATTTCTTTGTTTCCCTCAAGCTTTCATTTCTTTGATGCAAATTATACTTATTCACTATGAATAACTCTGATCATGAATCCAAAGAAATAGTTTTGATTCAAACAAATATACACTTTCTTTCAAATTATGAATCATATCATTTTCAATAAATTATATAGATACAAAAAAATCACTTATTTGAAAAATCAAAGGAATGGAAACTTTGATTCAACCAAGCTTGTTTGTTGGACCTATTCAAACTTCGGATTTCTTTGAATTTAACAATATTTGTTAAATTCAAAGAATTGTTTTTCTCTGTGTATAATCGGTTCTAAGAGTGATCATAAATGATTTTTTTTTTAATAACTTTGCTTTTTCAAATGGAATGATGTTGGGCCAGGTAATTTTTTTTCAAGAATATTCTTCTACTAATTAATTGATACCACATTTTTCAATATTCGATTGATAATCGAAACACAAAATGGATGTGATCAAAATAAATTCTAAAAAAGAGATATTATGATGAGCCTAGGAAAAATCATACAACTGTATGTAAAATGAACTTCTAAATCCTAAAATGTGAAAATATACAGGATATCCCATTTGAAAATCATAAGATGTTATTCGAATCCTCCAAATCTTATAATTCTATCTCAAGTCATTCAGAAGTTACAAGAGCAGCCCTGTTTTCGTGATCCCCCTGTACGCTAGAATTTTGTGAGGTCAGAATTATTCAACGAAGTTAATTTATATCATATTCATGAATTCATAATTTGACATACATCATTAGTTTGTTGATAACAATAAATTGTCTACTTTCTTTGGTATCTATATAGTTTAAAATACTCAAATACTGTTTCTATAACCTATCATTAAGACACAACGCAACTACAAATACAATCAAACGGTATGGCCAACGCGATAACCTGATTCTAACCATATTGAGCACCATTTAACATCAAATAGGTATGTCATCTGGTAGTAATTTTGAAGACTCCTGGAATCAATATAAACTCACTTTTGACAATTTGGTATCGGCAGGTACATTGGGGATGCAGTCTCTCAAGGATATATATGCACTGTTTATCGAATGCGTTCTTCTTCTTTCTTTTTTGTTCGCCGTGGTTCTTCTTTTGACCACTCGAACTGCCGTTCCTGTAGTGAGCATGTGAGTCGAAACATCGGATTCAGAATTTATCGTCGAATATGCTAAAACAAACCATAAGACTTTGAAAACACTGATATAGGTACTTGATATGGTATTCTTACCAGCCTTGTATGTCGAGTACCTATTCTGTTTAGAACAGCCCAATTGTGCGTATATTTCGTATGTGTCTGCAATGGAATTTTGAAGATGGTTTGGTGAAGGGGATTCAGATCTGGACGGACTGTTGGACCAAAATGTATCATCGCCACCATCTATAGTAACAAACTAAAGTAGCTCTAAGAAAATTGTCTGGTATTTTGTTTTGATGAATCTGTTTTTTCAAGAGAAGATCTGGTAATAATTTTACACAAAAAAAGTCTTGATCAAAAATATGCTGGAATAAATGTAATGTTCTGGTTAATTTCAAAGTATCTGACTGATTCGTAAACTAATGACGTAGGTATGCGATATTTATTTTCGTTCGAACATAATTGAGATGGATATACCTATACTTCAGTCTGATGATATCCAGTTTATTTAGATTCGAGTTCTTCTTGTCAAAAATAGCTTCATTGCTTCTGTATAGGTGTAGATATATATGTTATACACGATATGAACTTCATAAAAAATATTGAAAACTGTTTGAAATTCGAAGATTTTCTACAGTTGATATAAAATTATACATATACAACACAACTTCAATTTTCATTTGTATCAACAAAAAATGTCAGATTTGAGTGTTGATATACAGGGTGGTATAGATTTTTAAAAGGACATGCCTCTAGAAATGCAATATAAATATCATAAAATATTATAATTGACAAAGAAGGTGTTGAAATTGAAGAAAAACACGTTATCATTGAATCTAAGAAAATACAAAACAAATTCACTGATGGATATATTCTTGAGAAATCAATAATCAATAATTATCATTCTGAAGATGAAACACTTTAGAGTGAGAGGAGACGAGGATCTGTCCGTCCTGTTAAGATGACAAATACGTCAATTTACATCCAGGGACCTATACCTATACCTACTCTATGTTGAGAAGTGTTCTTGAAGTTAAAATAAACTTGACTTCGAGTCAATATATCAAGCTTAGATGTTTTTTAAAAAACCAAAATGTGGGATACCGACCGAAAGAGGTCAAACTTTTGACAAAAGTGAAGTTTCCAGATTTATGGAAGATGCACTTGATCGAAACCTTTTAAAAGTTGTCACCATTTTTGGGTTGGCTGGTTCTTTTTTATTGTCGTTGTTATAATATGATATGAAGCTCTTAGGAAAAATTTTGTTCCCAGCACATGCGCCAATAAAGTGCCTTTTCCGCACTCAAAAACTCATACGAACTCCGCTTCGGAAAATACCAAGAAATTTCGCACCACTTCACTATAGAGTATATTCACTATTAGATAGATATATTTAATTATTACCTGAAACATAGTGATAATTATTGTGATGCGCAGGATACCCATACTGGAACACTTCCTGATGATGATGTTGCTGAGGAGGACCATTATTATACATCCTGATGATTTTGAAAAAAACCGAAATTCACAAAAACTTGACACCACACCAAACGAAGAACTTGTAACTGTGCAGCCTCAGGCTCCGTATACATCGTGATCATCTCCATCTGTTTTGGTTGAGCTAATTTTGGGATAGTATAGTAGGCGTGTCATTCTATCCAGGATGAACGTTATTGCTTGGATGAGCAGGAACTTGGGAGGTTCCCCAAGGAACGCCTCCCAGCCGATCAATATTTGAACAGCTATAAATTTGATTATTACAATCATCAAGTCTTGAGTAACGGTTGGCGGTCAAAGTGAATATTTGGACAGTGAATAGGAAAAAACACCTAAAAACCACAAAAAACCATTTCAATTCTGTTTTCAGTTCCTGGAAGATTATTTCATTGGGTATCGAGATATCATATTCGATTTTCGAGAATCCTTGTGTCTGAGTTGTCACAGAGTGATCTATGGAAGTGTGCCGAATTGCCTCAATTTGGAAACACAATTTTATAGCGACACTTGATTTTATCGAATCCAATTGGCATTATATAAGCACGAAAGTAGCAGGCTATGGTCTGGGAAATCACCTTTCAAGTAATTATTGAATGAAATTGGTATAATCAAAACTGACACTGGCATTGGGTGAACACAAAATGATATAGTTTTCAATAAAAAAGTTTCAAAAATTGGTTTCCTAACATTTGGAGAAAAATATGTTTCAGATGGCAGCAAAGTAGATTCACTGCCTAGTAAAACAATAGTTATTTATTGTACAAGGGAAAAGAGTAGTAGATTTTAGCTCCAGGTTGTCAGGAGACAAAAAACCGTGAGCTAAAATCTAATATTTTTCCCGTGTATAATACACTGTTTTTTTCTGTGGCAGAAGAAAGGACGAATCAATATTGAGAAGATATTACATTATTTTGAATTCTGAAAATTATCGACGTGAAATTCTAAGTTTTCAACAGTAGAGACACCTACGTTGTAGGCATATTTATCATTCTTTTGAAGTAATCAAATATCTGATGTGTCAGTCTAATTCTGTGATTTGATTTCACAAAATTGCGAATTTGGTGGTTGTTTAGTAATATACGTAACCGCGAAGTCGAATGGAAGATAAAAGGACTTGCAGTTCTTTCTCGGAGACGGTATTATTGACTCATTTTTCGGAACTATAGCCATCAACAGTATATATATGTGATATATAGCCGGGAAAAAAGTACTCACTTTTTTTCCATGGGAAAAAAGTAATTTATGGAAAGTGACATTTTATAACCTGCCAAAAGAGATGAAATGCCAAACTTTTTTCCCGTCACAGAAAAAATAACTATTTCAAGCTTTCCATCTAAAACTAAAAGTTTCAACATGAAAGTGAAATAATAGACATTGGTTTTCATGTAAAAATAGAGATTTTGTTTTTCATTATTATCAGAATACAGCGTGGTACAGCTATTATAGCAGTTCTTGTAGGTAAACCATTTCATTTTGAGTATATAAAGAGGAAACACAAATAAATAAACTTTGGCTCGATCTAAATATAAATCAGAAGGAAAATAATCTACTTTACTTATACCAGCTTATACCAAGTGATAAACAGGAGGAATTCGAAGGGAGATAATTTAATAATGATCGAAACAAACACGGTGAATCGGAAGCTGCCAAGATCCTGAATATCCGAATATCCCCATATTGCTGCTGCACACGTGACGGCCTGACGGCCCATATCTCGCCACGAAGATAATCTTTGCTAGACAAAAACCAGAAGGCTCTAATTCATCAGCAAATTGAACTGAATACTGGGTGTTTGATCGAGGGAGATATTTTTTTATTGAATGTACATTTGATTTGACACATTGATTTGATATCAAAATGTACCTTGTCGCTATATCTATAGGTACTCCTTGTAAAGCCGAAGTAGATATACCATATATACAGGGTGTTTCGAAACTATCAGTATCAAGATTTGAGCGACTCATTTTCCAGGTCAAATTAAGACTTTTTTCTTGTAAGTATGTATAGAGATACAGGGTATTCGAAATCAAGATTTTTCAACTTTAGGATTTTTTGTTTCTATCTTAATTTTTGATTAACTATCTACTGATATTTAATTGGAACAAATACAGGGTGGTTCAAGATTCAGAATTCTGATCACCCTCCATCTGTTCCAATTAAACGTCAGTAGATATAGGGAATCAAAAGTTGTGATAGGGATATGAGAGCCGTTTTGACCAAGAATTAATAGTTTCGACACAAAGTAGTTATTAATGTACCAAGGATGAAAAACTGTCTATTATAGTCAGTTCTGTGAAACCGAAATATGGACTTATTGTAACTATGAAATCACTAACCTGACCGGGTTATAATTACAACATCAGAGGTGGCTATGTCTTCATTGACTATAGTGGTTCATAAAATGATGAAAACTACCTTGGTAGTGAAAACACACTTGACAACTCGAAAGGGGGTAAATAATGGTAGGTTTTATAGCTAGTGGTGGAAAAAAATATTACCTGTTTCAAGATTTTTTGCAAATTGCTGGCTTATAGATAGTGACTATTTATCTATAGGTATAGGTTCATCATAAATATCTAGTTCATGGTTCATGATAAAATTCGCTTATAGCAGAGAGGATTATTACAGTTCTTGAGATAGAAATACACATTAGGCCCTCCAGCAAGTGAATTTTGGTTTAATAAATTGTCGGTAGTGTCCATATACAGTCAGAACCGACTGGCGCCGTTTGTACACAATATGTTCCCATATCATGTTAAGTCGCCACTTGAAAAGGTCAGATAAATGCTACTCGAACAAACATCCAACATTTATTTTTTCTTATCTTTCTCGAAAGCTCATATAGCTAGAGCTTAAAAAATCTCTTCGCCATTTGATTTCCATAGCATTGTAGAGTGAGTGCTTGGAGAAAAGTATTTCGAAACAATTTTTTCAAAATTAATTGGGGATTTATATATTTCTACATCAGTTTAAAGTGTTTGAAGTGTTGGTTGATGCCTACTAAATGGACCACTTTTAATAGCTCCACTTAGTCCGATGATTAAACAACCAGGCAAAAAATCATCTACTCGATTTCAATTTTACCTTATGTATGAAGACTTTTGGCTTCGCCGCTTCATCCTTTGTTATGGTATATGGTATAACAATGGGTTTTTATTTTTTATGATTATAAACCCCAAATCACTATACCAGGTGACACAGGGTATCTGGCCACCCCTGTAACTTCTTCATTCGTTAACGGAATTTTGTGAAATTTGGTACAGTTATACAGGGTATCCAGAAATCACATTGAAAGATTTCAACCACAAAAAAGTTCATGTAAACATGAGCCCAGAAAAAAATGTCATTAAAAGTTATATACATCGTTATCTCAACACACAGAGGGTTTCGGAACTGTTTATATAAATCCATCATCTCGGGGGGGGGGGGAGGCTTTCGGCGGACTCCCGGTTTTCCTGGAAATGCCAGCAAGTTTGTTTTTTAAAATGGAATACCCTCGTGTCAACGAGTGCAATCTTCGTGACAAGATTCGGAAATTATGTTTTCCACAGCTTCCTTCAAAAATTACTCGAACTGCAAGGAAAATTCATGAAATTAGTTGTTGAATTTTGAATGAATACAATTTGTTACTGCACCGAAATACAAAAATGTCATGTAATTTTATTCCTCAATGTATGTTTTAGAGAGACATGTAGGTGGCCTATAGCATTGGGCTCCATTTGAAAAAAAAATTTTTTGGATCAAAATGTTAAGTGACTGAATTGATTCATCGATAAGTCACAGAAAAAATAATTGTTCAGGTAATATTAAGTTTCTCTAGTCTAGTATGTGGGACTCATTGTGAATAGCCTTGACCACATCTCATTTATCCAGGAAGTGAAATACATTTTTTCGAAAATATTACATGTGACATACATATTGCACTTGTTTTGACCTGTTGCACTAGAATATGTGAAGATATTTATACGGGGTGTTCCATTTGAAAAAATGAAGTTGCTGGCATTTCCAGAAAAACCGGAAGGGGTGGCCCAATACCCTGGGTCATATCAGGAAGAATAAGAAACAATTCTTCATTGGTGGATTCTTATTTATTCAATTATTATATAATAATAATATATCTAGATATACCTAGAGTACCTAAATAATTCTAGTTTATTTAGTACATTCAAAATTTTTTCTTCATGAATATTTATTCTTCATTATACAATGCATGTTTATTGGTGCACGGAAAGTAAAAAGACGAGTCGATCGAATTAACAAACAATTGAAGTACCATCAAGGTTCGCATGGCCTACTTAGTTCGGCGATGAGTGACCCTTTCAAGGTGCGAGTCAAGTCCCCATACGAAGTTGTTTACGGCAAAATGCGGCAAATTTTTACTTCCCACAAAATAAGCTGCTCAAAAATTGAAATGGATCGCGTCCGCTTTCGGAATTCTTATAGTCAAGTCAAATTCAATGACTTGTTTTCGTCATTTCAGGTTTTATCCTTCTAATGATGATGAGTAAGATTGTGGAAAAATATGTCACTCCAATTTAATGTTGAACAACCACAAGTTGCGACAAAAATATTGATTATAGTATAGTTTTCTACATAGATTCGAGATATCTCCAAAAACTTTGACTGTCTAAAGTCCGCCTCCCTCCTTAAAATTTTCAAACCACCTGGTATATCGCAATTAAATATGAAGAGCTCGAATGAGAGATGAAAACCTACTTTTCCATTAATAAACGACAGCCTGGAGTCTTAAAATGGCGGCTGAACAACAAACTTGAATCAATTTTTCGAATAGAACACCTCATATATTATTCCGATTGCGAAAATTGAATAATATACCGGGTGTTCCATCAAAAAAAAATAATTGGAAATGGAAATAATGGAAATTTTCATAAATAGGTAGGTTTTCATCTCCTATTCGAGTCCTTCGAATTTCGTTGCGGTATCCCAGGTGGTTCAAAAATTAATAGGGGGGAACGGACTTTAGACGGACACTGTATACTATTTTGAGGCATTTTAATTTGTTTTTTCTTTCATATATCCTTTGCTTGCATGTCCCAACTGCAGTACAGATAAATTATTGCATT